GCTGGAATCACATCTGACAGCTCCTGGAATTCTGGGGGGTGGCTGAAACATCTGGGGGCTGCTGCTGGGCATGAGGTCAGAACTGAAATGCCTGGTGAAGGTGGTGCTCTCTCAGCAGCAATTCGTGGTTTGGAGCCTTTAATGGCTGTTGCTGACATTTGAATTGTTTCTTGTGAAAGGCACAAATAGATATTAATCTCTGATTAATTCCTTCCATAAATACAGAGTTTCTATATAAAATAACCCCAGAGAAAACCCTTTTTCCCCATCTTTTCAAGTTTTGTTAAAATGGCCAGGGACCAGTGTGTGATAGAATAAATATTCCTCAAGTTCTGGCTCTCACAGCAGAGAAGGGACACAAATTGTTGCCCACAAGGTTGGGGATGGCAAGGCTGTGATCCCAGTAGGAGCAGATCCCAATTTTTTGGGGTGGGGGATGCACTTGGCACTTGTGGGCTCTGGAACTACAGGGATGTGCACACCTGCTTTTAATTCAGAGGCCAAAACCCAGATAAATTCAAGTTCTACAGCAGAAAGAACTGATCTAATTTATCCAAAAGCTGATTTTCCCACCGAGTGGAGTTTGAATTAAAAATATTGCACCGAGGAGGGAAAAAGGGAGGTGAGGATGAGCCAGAGGAATGTGTGAACCTCTCTTTGTCCCAGACTGTGGCTGGTATTTCCAAAAAACAACACGTGCAGGGATCAGGTGTCACCCAGCCCAAACCAAACCAGGGACAGCAACTGCTGGCAGGGAGAGCGCTGAAATAAGAATTTACTCAACAGGCGCTGCTTGCAGCAGGTTCTCATCTGTCAGATTGTAATAGAACTCATCTCATTTCATGTGCAAAGAGCAAAATGGGGCTGAAGGCGCTGTCTGAGATCCAGCTCCAGAGACAATGTGTGTTCTTGCAGAAGGATGTTAGAATGTGAAAGTAAATGTGGATAAATGTATCGAGTTTTCATTCAAAAATCACAAAATTACTCCAGATTTTTCACCAAAACATCCCCCAGCCACCAGCACCCTCGACACCATCAAAAAAAACCCCAAACAAAAAACAAAAAGAAAAAAACCACAAAAAAACCCCAAAACAAAAAAACCAAACCAACCAACAAACAAAAAAAAAACTTTCCTGTATGTTTTTGAACTTCAAAAAAATCAGAGTTTTGGCTTAGCAGGGTCATGCCTGAGTTGCAGATTCCTCATGCAGAACCTGCCACTCTCAGCTGTGTGCACAGGAAGGGAAATAAGTTGAAAATGATGTTGAACTATGTGAAAAAAGAGAATTCTACTTGAGTTCCTCCCAGGCTGTGAGTGCTCCAATCCCCCTGCCTGGCCTGGCAGAGCCTCTGCAGCCAGATGTGCATCTGAGTGACTTGGTTCAACTTCTGACAAAGCTGTAATGTATTTCCTGTGCTTAAAAATAACTGCTTTTAATTAATAAAACTGTTTTCTTACTCTCAGTGCCAGCTACTACTCTGTATTCATCCCCTATTTTGCTATCCCTTAAACCCACGGGAAAGCCCTTATGGAAAGGTTTGCCAAGGAGTCTGGGCTGCCATTAGTTCATGTTTTTCCTTCAGGGAAGGGATTTTAATTTTTTTATAGGATTTTTCCTTTCCTAATTGCTTCATTTGCAAGCCCTTTTCCGAGGGCACTGGAGCACCCAGAATATCTGAGGAGGAGAAAAGCTGTTGATCAACCCGAGGTTGTTGCTGGAATGAATCCGTCATTAGACGGATCATTAAACTGCAGGAATAGTCATTAACCCAGGCTCTGGAGGGGGTGCTGCTGTGGCTGGGACAGAAATAGTCCTTGCTCAGGCTGGAATCTCTCACTCTGGGTCAGGTGCTGGAGCTGGCTCTCATGGCACAGCTTCTCTCCTTTCCCAGAGCATCAGGCAGGTGCCCGGCATCCCTTCTCCAGGATAAAAATGTGCTGGAGTGCAGATGGGGGCTGGTTACTAATCCCTGGATGTTTGGAGTTAAAGGGGCACTCACTGTGCTGGTGCCTCCCCCCAGAGCAGAAGGAGTCCCTGGCTACAGAGAATTATTTCCTTTTTCACGTTTAAAGGAGGTGGGAAAAGGTCTTTCAGTGGGAATCGGGGTGAGAAACCAGCCTGGTGACAGCACCAGCTTTTCCTTGGGTAACAAAGTGGCCACCAAAGCTGCTCTGGCCCGTGGATGAGTCTCTTGTGGATTAATTAGATAATTTCTGTGGGCATTCCGAGGGTTTGCAATGCCCACTGTGCTAAAGGATGGTGCCAGAGTGCGAGCTCTGACCCTCATCTGTACTTGTGGCTGCAATTAAATGAGGCTCCTGTGCAGCTGATGAAAGATTCCACGGGAGCTCAAACTCACCAATGCATGGAATAAACCTTCATGATAACCCCCAAAGGGCTGCTCGTCCCTTCCCCAGGGCAGGGGGGTGCTTGGGTGAAGGTTCACGTTCTCCTGGTTAAAATTCAGGGGTGATGCTCTGGGGGTTTGACTCGCAGGTGCCCTGGGGAGAAGGTGAAATGTCATTTTTGGGATTATGAGGTAGGCAGGAGCGCTGCTGACCGTGTGGTGACAAGGTAGAAACCACAGCAGGATGTGGGAGAAAAGGGACATGCCCCCGAGGCAGAGAAGAGGCAAAGCCACCCAAGCTCCTTTTGAAATATTGACATTTTGTCTAAACTGCAGACTTTTGTTTTTTGGACTTAAAAAGAAAACAACATTTATTTTGAGTTTCTCTTTTGAAGTGGGTGTTTGTGGAAGGCATTCTGTTTGTGTGTGTGCACCTGGTGCATGGATACCGAGGTGACAGATCCTCCAGAAATCCATCTGAAGAGCTGTCAAGCTATTAACTTACAGAATGAGCAGAGCAAAAAGGACAGTGCAGAAATTAAATATAGCACTTGAGCTTTTAAACTGCTCTGTCATTTGATTGAAATGTTTCCTTCCCCCTTGTTCCTGCTGCTATAAATCTTCCTTTCCTGACACATTATCCCTGTCCTAGATGGAGTTTCTGATGTTCACAGTTCCTGTGAAGTTTATTTTCAAACAAAACCGAGGCAGTCCGTGCAAGAGTAACTATTTGGATTTGGGTTGACAAATATTTTCTAACTTGAAGCTAATATTTTTAAAGGTCCAGGCTGTTGAACAATGAAAACTAAAGCTGTGTCAGGTTGATTTAGAGATGTTTTTGTGTTTTTTGTTTGTTTTTTTTTCTTTTTAAAGCACGCTCGAAATTCACACAGAGGAGTTTTAGTGCCTGTCTTAGAGGATTTTAATTTTATATCCCCTTTTTTCACATGAAAATAGGGCCTCATGCAGGATCAGCCAGGGAAATTCAGAGGGTACTGATGGAGAATCTGTCACAACACTTTCTCCTGATTTGATTTCATCACCAGAATTTTTCAGGCCGTGTCCTGTGGCTGCTGCTCCGAGTGTCTGACCCTCGCTGGGGCTCCCTTGGTGTGTGGATGCCTGAGAATTTTCCCTGCAGCGCTTTTGTCCCGTGTGAAACCTGTCCTGCACCTGTCCCTGTCCTCTGTGTCTCGGGGGTTCCTGCACCCCACACCCTCCATCCCCCACGGGCATTTTGGAAGCAGCATCGTCCCACGAGAACTCTTTTAAATCAGTTTTCACTCGTGTGAAACTGAGCTAAAAGCCCGACCAGTTCTGGGGCCACCTGCTGCTGCTGCTGCTGCTTTTCTGGCTGTTCCTCAATCCCCCTCCTCCCTTGGCTTCTCTGCGAGCAGTCAGTGGGGACAAATAAAATAAAAAAAATATTAAATGAGATGAAATTAAAGGAAATAAAATAAAAATGAAATAAAATAAAATGAAAATGAACTGAAATAAGATAGAAATGAAATGAAATAAATATAAAATAAAATAAAATAGAATAAAATAAAATAAAATAAAATAGAATAAAATAAAATAAAATAAAATAAAATAAAATAAAATAAAATAGAATAGAATAAAATAAAATAGAATAAAAATAAAAATAAAAATAAAATAAAATAATAAATAAAAATAAAATAAAATAAAAAACAAAATAAAAATTAAATTAAAATAAAATAAAATAAAAATAAATTAAATAAAAAATAAAAATAAAAATAAAAATAAAAAAATATAAAATAAATTACATTAAAATAAAATAAAATAAAAATAAAAAAATAAGATAGAATAGAATAGAATAAAAAATAAAATAAAATAAAATAAAATAAAATAAAATAAAATAAAATAAACCCAAACAACAACAAAAAAAGAGAAATTATTGTGAAAGAAGGCTGAAAGTCCAAGTGCGCTCTCTGCCAGCCCTTCGGGGTGGACTGGCTGAGCAGGAAGGTGGGACAAAAGGGACAACCCCGCCCAGCTGGCTCCTCCGGGAAGCTCTTCCCCCTCCTTCCCCCCTTTGCAGCGGGAGGATTTGTGGCAGCAGCAGCAATATTCGGTAACCCGAGCGCTGGCTCCGGGGCTCGGGAGCTGCCCGTGTGTGTCTGAGCCGCCGCACAGACAGAACTGCTCCCGCTGCTCTTTTCCCTGATTTTTATGGAGCCTTGTTCCTCCCCTCCCTCTGTTTCTCTCTCTGCCCTCCCCACAGCTCACGCCGCTCCACTCCATGCTTGCCTCGCCTCCCGAGAAGAACCGCAGCCGAGTTTTCCTAGAGCAGCCCCGGCAGCTTTTCCTTTGCTGAGCCAGGAGAAGGCAAAGCGGGCAGGGCAGGGGAGCTGAAGCCCGGCCAAGCCTCGCTCCAGCCCCCGTGCCAGGGCTAAACCTGCTTGGAGAGAGGGCAGGGCAGGCGCTCGGTGGAGGGGAGAGAAGGAGAGAGGAAACTTGAAACTGGCTTCCCTTGTGGCGTGTCCGTGTCCCGGCCATCCCCTCCCCGCCGCTGGTTAAATGAGAGCACGTGAAGAACATGAGGTTTCCTGCCTGAGAGGGAGGGCACGGAGGGAGGAGGAAGGCGAGCCGTGGCTTTGCGGTGTGGTTTACACCGAGATCGGAGCTACAAGTGCCTGGGGGTGGGAGCAGGAGGAGAAAGGGCGTCTGATGCCAGCTGCCAACATGACAGAAACCCTGCAGCTCCCGGCGCTGCGGGTCCCCGAGCAGCAGGTGCTGGAGGGCGGCTGCGCCTGGTCCAGCTCGTCCACCCCGACCCTGCGCAGGAAGCGCTTCAAGATGAGGAGGATGAAGAACGTGCAGGAGCAGAGCCTGGAGGCCGGCAGGTACCAGGATTCTCCTTCCTCCAGCAAGGAATACCTGCAGCTCCCATCCATTGAGATCACCCCCTCCAGTGACGAGGACACCCCCTGGTCCAACTGCTCCACTCCCAGTGCCTCCCCACGCCGCAAGCGCTTCCTCCTTCGGAAGTGGCTGCGCGTCCGAGAGAAGAAGGAGTGCAGTGAGAGCAGGTAGGTTCTCCGGCCGCCCCCCTTCCCTGCTCCCAAGGTGATGCTGTCCAGAACAGGCTGGAAGGGTCTGTTGTTCCCCTGGATGTGCCTCTTCCTGGAGTTTGTCCTCGCCTTGTTGGCTGGAACGTGGTGGTGTTGGTTGGATGTGCTGGTGCCGGAGGAAAAAGGCCTGGGAATTCTCTGGGAACGGCAGGGCAAGGCTCTGTCCTTGGTTGTGGCCTTCCAGGTGACACCGAGCCAGTGGGTAAGAAGATTTAACTTCACTAAGGTGTCCTGAGGAGACCCCGAGAGAGAGGAGTGACCTCTCTGCTGGCACTACCTGTTTGGGAGCGATGCTGCCAAACCTCTGCCGCTGTTTTGTGGTGATGCTCACTCCTACCACTGGGACCTCCCTTAGTTTGGGACAGAGGACGAGAGAGAGAAACCAAGCAGCCCAGTGGGTCTGTGTGTCAAGGTGTCCGGGCTCAGCCCTTGGCAGCTTCCCAGGCCTGAAAGTCGCAGAGTGCTTTGGCTGAAAAGGGCACAAGTCATTCCCAAAGACCTCCAAGAGCCTGTCAACGCAGGGAATTAATGCCCAGGCATTGTATTGTGTGGCCACACAGAGATAAATGCACCTTGTGTAACCCTCTGCAGTTCACCCCACATGCAGTGGGATTAACTCTTCCTTTGGCAGGGCACTGGAACAACCTGCCTTTCCTGAAGGCCCCAAACACACAAGACATGTCGAAGATTTCTCCAAGAAATGACTACTTTATAAATCCTTGGGCTGGCTTAGTGTGGGCCAAGTTTTCTTCCACTCTTTGCAGCTGATCTGGGGGGTTGTGTTTAAAGGATGTGATGCACTTCCAGAAAAAGAGAAACCTTTATCTTTTCTGCACCCACCAAACCACACTGACTCACTGCCTGCTGTGGTCCTTGAGTGTTTACAGGGCAGAGCTTTGAATATCCACTCTGATTATGTGATAATTTTTCTTGCATCAGGTCCCTTTAGCAAGGTCAGTCTGTCAGCTTATTAATTTTTAAAGAACTTTCATGAATGAATGCATGCCACTGAGGATCTGATAATCCCTCTGTCAGCAAGTTAACATGGAAAAACCTCTCTTGGTTTAGGAAATAGTTCTGATTTTCACGTAGCAGTGATGGTGCAAGTAGGGATTCAGGCACAGCACACAAAATGGGAAAGATAATGCATGAGGCACATGCTGAAGTGTCAGAATATTGAAATTATGGTCTGAAGTTCAGAGGATGAAGGATCCAATCCTTCAGCTGAAGGGCTTAATTTGGATTTCTTGATGGTGAATGATTTTCAGGCAGGCCAAGGCACGTTTCTTTTGGTGTGAAGGCAGAAAAAAGAGCCAAGTTTCCTTGAACACATGTTATTTACACGGCCACACTGACAACTTCCTGCTTACTCATCTCCAGGGGATTTTTTGGTGATGTTTCCGAAACAGTGACTGGAAAAAGGGTGAAGTGGTGGATGGCTTGGGTGGCATTAACATACCAAAGCTGGCACCTCCTTCCTTCTCGTGCAGCAGGCTCCAGATCTTCCCTTTGTGCCAGGGGAAATGCGATGCTCTCAAATGGAATTTTTGCCTCCCTAGCCCGGGTTGGTGCTGAGCCTGTGGGCTGGCAGAGTGCAGAGATCATCCCTGGGCTCTCAGCAGAAAACAGGGAGAGGAACCTGTGGGGAGCTGGCCGTGGAAAAGGGTGATAAACCCTGAGGGGTTTTGTGGCTTTGATTTGAAAGAGACGTGGGGTAAACTTTGCTGTGCCCCGAGTGAAATTCACACAATTCACAGAATGACCAGGTTGGAAGAGACCTTCAAGATCATCGAGTCCAACCCATACCCTAACACCTCAACTAACTGTGGCACTGAGGGCCATGTAATGTAACTTTTTTTAGTCAAGAAGCTGTTTTCCTATAAAACAGATATCAGATATTTCCTATAAATCAGATATCAGAGAGATCACCTGCTCTGTGCTGCTGCTGCTGCTGTTGGGGACAGGTTTGTTTGAGGGCAGCAGGGACAGCTGTGCTGGAGGCTGCAGGGTTTTGTGCAGCAGAATTCCTTCATTCACCAGGCTTTCATTGCCTTCATTCATCCTGTCCAGGTGTCACAGGGATTCCCAGCGTGTGCTGGGGGTGCAGGTGTCCCATGAGGAGTGCAGCTTCCCAAATTTCACCTGGTGGCAGGAGCAGCCATCAGGCTGTGGCTCCCGCTGGAGAAATCGGTGCAGTTTGCCCCCAACCACTCCATTTCTCTGGCTGAGTTGCCACCAAGCTGCTGGAATTTCGATTTTGGAGCCTTTTGGTAACTTTAATCCCCGTTCCGTGGCCAGATACCTGTTTGATGGCAGGGTTTTCCCAGGAAAGCTGGAGGCTGGGGAAGAGCAGGCTGTGCTCCAGCTGAGCTGCTCCTTGCTGTGCTCACATGGCCCCAAGCAAGGGCTCTGTGACCATTAACATCCATCGAGCATCCAAGTGAATAAACAAACGCTTTCAGCGCTCCCAACGCTGTCTCTAATGCTCCAGGTCTGCTTTTCTCATCCGGAAACTCCAGCGTGCTGGTTAGTTTTTAACAGGCTGGATAACGGTGAGGTTTGTTTACCTGCTGGTTCTCTAAAAGCTGATACTGTTCTTTTCCTTCCATTAAACCCCAGGGATGGCTGAGAGAGCCTTTCCTGCCCCTGACGCTGCTTCGTTCAAGGTGAGAGAGCAGGGAGAGGCAATTCAAATTCCAATTCCAATTCCAATTCCAGTTGGGGGTAGGACTGTCCCTGGAACGTGTCCTTGTTCAAGGAATGAAGATCCAAACCTCAAGGCTGCTGTGCAGATGATAAATGGGATGGGTTTTATGAGCTCCTCCTCTACCCCTCACCCATTTGCCAGCCAATTTATTGGCTTAATTTACCTTTATAAACTATCAACCCCTCACACAGGTGCACAAATTGATTTTATTTTTTTTATTAAGACACGATGATATTTCTTTCTTCAGGGGCATTTTGCTGTGCCTGCAGCCTGCATGCATTTATTGATGTGGGCATAAGGCACTTGATCAGCTTCAATTTATTATTTCCCTCTTCAAGCCACCCTTGCTTGTAATTTCAGGACCTGCACGTGGTTTTGGGGCAAGAAGTGCTGAGTAGATCATTCAGGCTTAAATTTAAGGACAGCTCTCCCTTTGGCCTAAGATCAGGACTGGTTAAGGATGCTCTTTGCACTGTTTGGTGCTTCAAAAGATGCAAAACTTGTGAATTTTGTGGCATCAGTGGGGAGCAGCTTGTGCAGCAGCTCCTGGCACTTCTGTGGATGAATTAACTCAGGTTGGATTTCTGCTGGAAAATCTGACACTCACTGTGGATTCATCCAAAAGGAAAGACTTGTCTAAGTCCTAAATTCCTCTAACACATTAAAAATTAGGTGCATTATGAGATGAATTCCATCCCAGCTCAGAAAAGTGTCTGTGCTGAGGAGCTGGAGGTTTCTTGAGCTGCCAGCTATGCAAATGTGGAGGTTTTTCAGATGAAATCCTGATAACTTATCTCTAAGTGTGGAACAAATGAGGGGAGACTCCAGCACTGCTCAGCACTGGGCTCTGAGGCTGCTTCCCTTCACGTTCTGAGGTAAAAATTCTCATTTTTTCCTTAAAAAAACTTTCTTGATCCCTCTAGTGATATAAATCAGTTAACAGTGAATCGCTGATTTGTTGGAACTTGAACTAAAATTATTATTTACAAATTGGTGGCTTAGATATTTTGAGTTGGCTTATAAAGTTAAACAAGCCTTTAATTTCAAGTAGCCCATAATGCTTTTGCTTTCCTTAATTAAATTGAAATTCACCCTGAGCATTTCTGGGAGTAAATTAATGGTCATTCCCCTTTTTCTGACTTTGACATGTGTGAAAAACATTGTGGTATTTTCTAGAGGAAAAAACCTGAGTGATGTGATTGTTTTTTGTTCCCCCCTAAGAAACTGCTGACTGTGAAAAGTAAAAAAAAAACCAAAAAAGCCACAAGATTAAGGTTATAGAGCCTCTTCCATTATGGAAAAGTGATCCAAGTGGTTAGGAATATCATGGAGGTGTTTACTGGTGAGGAGGGAGCTGCTCCAGCCCTGTGCTGGGGAGTCTGGGGAGCCCTGGTGGGGTTTTAGAGCAGAATGAGCTGCTCTAAATTTTGCAGTTCTCAGTTCTTCAGTTTTTGCTGAACTTCCACTTCCCAGCTGTGGCTCAGTGGGGAGGAAATGGGGCTGCTCCTCTCCGACCAGCACTGCAAGAATTGGGAAGTGGGTGTGTACCAGGCTTGTTATTTCTGCTAAAATTCCTGTTAAAACCTCATTTGTGTGAAGAACCGATGGCTCCACTGGGGTTTCATCATGGGACAGGCAAATGTGGTTTTTCCCCCCCATTTTTGCTGGTAGCTGGAGGTGGTTAATTGAGGATTTTGGGAAGACAAATGTCACATCGGGGAAGCTGTTGGTGTCTGAGGGAAGCAGCTGCTCTTCTCTGCTTTTGGTGGCTTTGGAAAACCCAAGAGCACAAAATTTCCTCTCTGTGGTGTCTCTTCTAATCTGAAATTTGAAAACACACAAACGATGGCTTGGTAGCAACTCAGTATTAATGTAACTTTTTCCTTTTTTGAACCTGCAGGTTCAGATGAGGCCTAAAGTGCTCCCAAAAAAGTGGTTTTGTTTTTTTTTTCTTTTTCAGCTTCTGCATTCCTGTCTCCTGGGAGCGCTGATGTGCTGTTTGCTGTGACTGCAGATTTTTTTTTTTTTTTTGCTGTTTGTTTCTGGTAGTCTGTGCCAAGTAACTGTGAATTCCACCGGTCCCGGTATTTTATTTGATTTATTTATTTATTTATTTTGGCTGAATCTCACTGCCTTTGTGCAGTAGTTTGTGGTTTTCTTTTGAAATATTTGCCTTCCAGTATTTGTGTGGTTTAGGGCAACCAGTCACCCAAGAGTATCAAAACTGAGTGATTTACAAACAGCCTGGGACTGCAATGCTGTTGATCTTATCTGGTCAGCAAATATTTGCCATTGGGCCATCTGAGATCCGTGCAGATGGAATTTAATTCATTCCCATGTTCCTTATCTCAGTGGTTTTCCACAGGTTTCTGCTTCCAGGCCAAGGCTCTGCTGCTGGCTGGTAAATAAGATGTTGGTGAAAGGGCTTGTCTGGGCAGCAGGGGAGGTTGGTGTTGGTGTTTTCTTTGTGAAGTGAGTGAGGTGAGAGGAGAGGACTTGGCCATGCTGCCCCTTTTAACCCTTTGCAGCGAGGAGAGGTGATGGTTTCTCTGCAGGTTCACACCCAGCTGAGTGAGACACCCCTGGTGGGGCTCAGGTGACATTTACAGCTGTGCCTCCTCTTTTTTTCGTCTTTTCTAAAGGGTTTAGGCTGCAAACACGGCTTTACACCCTCCCCATCCGTGGGAGGTTTGGAGCAGGAGGTGCCTGCTTGGTTCTCAGGAATCTCTTGGAGACCTGAGAGATCTTCCAGGACCTGAAGGGGCTTACAGGGATGGGGAGGGAGATTTCACAAGGACAGGGGGGGATAGGACAAGGGGGAATGGCCTTAAACTGAAGGAGGGCAGGTTCAGAGATGGGATTTGGGGGAGGAATTGTTCCCTGTGAGGGCGGGGAGGCCCCAGGGAAGCTGTGGCTGCCCTTGGGGTGGCAGAAGCAAAGCCCCCTGAGTGTTTTCCCACAGGGGGCTTTAGGAGCTTCTCAAAGACAATTTTATCCTTCAATTCCCCACTTTCAGAATGCAGCCCCGTGTTTCCCACGGAACAGCAGGAATGTCCCTCCCATCCCTGCTGCCTCATTTTGCCTGGAAAATCCCATCCCTGTGCCCCAAAGCCACAGTGGAGCAGGGACTGAGCCGCGACTAACGCCAGGGAGCTGTTGGTGCGGGAGGAAAACGAGGATGGAGGGACACAAAGGGCAAATCCCTGAGCCCAGTTCCAGGGATACCAGTCCAGGAGGGCTGTCCTTGGCAGCTCTGAGCCTTTCAGCCCTAAAATTCAAAGCCAAAGCACCTTCAGAGCCGGATTCCCACAGAAGCTGCAGGTTCCCAGGCTTGGAGGACACGAGGAAAGTCCCAGAATGGTTTGGGTTGGGAAGGAGCTTAAAGCAGAATCTTCAAAGATTTAATGGTTAAAAGGCCTGGTTAATCTGTGTTGAGGATTTTTTTTCATTTTCTAAAGTAGTAACTAATGAGTTTGCATGAGAATTAAGGGAAAAAACACAGGACACAAACCTTAAAGTATTTTTATTGTCTCAGAAATTGTAGGAACAAAAAGGGCACCCTGGGCTCGTGCACCTGAAGATTTAAATCTTGTCCAAATTCAGGTTTATCACTGCTGAGCTTTGGAATGAGACAAGCTTGTTTTGCTGATTCCCTGAAAGTTTTATCCAGCTTTTGACCTTCCCTGTGGATACAAAATTCTGTCTGAATATTTCTTTCCCTGTTATTCCTCAGTACAAATCCCACCTTTCTTTATCTCCTTTCACTACCCCGTCTTTTAAATTGTCATTATACTGTTCCAAAGGAACACTTAATAGCAGGTTATCGTCAAATGGACTGAAAAACATCATAAAACTCCGCATTTCTACCACTCTGAGCATTTTAGCTAATTTAACAGTTTCATTGCCTAATAACCAGAAGGTTGAAATAATTTTATGTTGTGTGAAAAGCACCCAAATTTGTATGGAAATCACTTTTCTGGTGAACAGCTCCTGCTGAGGGGCCAGGTGGGTTAAAAGTGATTTTTCTCTGAGAGTTTAATTGCTCACAAGCTCGAGCTGAGGTTGTATTTCAATGAGCTGCAATACCTGGGTTCTGTTAAATTTTAAACCTTCATTTGGAATGTGAACTTTATTGGGTGGATGAGCAGGAAGAGGTCTAAGGTTCATTTTAGCTGTCCCAAAGGGAGGTTTCATATGTTGTTCCCAGCATTGCTGGGCTGGGATAGACTGGGAATTCTCCTTGGGTAAGTTTGGTTCCATCTGCTCCATCTGAAGTGAAATGGGAAGGTTTGGTGGGAGGGTTTCCTATACAGAAACAAGAAATTAGAGAAATAATCCCTGCAATGCTTTCTCTGATCAAAAGGGGGAATTCCTTTGGCAGAGGAAGGTAAATGTGGTTCCCTGGGCCATAATGAAGCTCAGAAGTGCAAGAAAAAGATTTATTTGCTTTTAGGAATGTATTGTTCTTACCCAGCTGTGGATTTCCAGCTTGGAGCCAATTCAGAATTCCTCCCTTACTGCGGGAGTTCTGTGGTTTCCCATGCCCAGCCTCAGAGGCTGATTTCTATATTGGTTTTGCAAGGATTTTCATAATTACTGATCACTAATTACCTTTCCTGAAAGCTTCAGCCTGCTCTCCTCTCTCTGCTGACAGTAACAGCGTTCTGTCTCTTGCTCTGGGGAAGCAGGAACAGTGGGCAGTGCCAGGTGATGGCTCCCAAATTCCAAATGTGTCCCCAAGGCAGGTGCTGTGCTCTCAGAAAGGTCATCTTCAATAAGGTGGAGCCCTTGAATGAAATTAAGATTCACTGACTTTTTATTCTTTGCAGAAAACTGCAAGTTCTTAGGCAAAAATTCTCCCCAGAAGGGAGAAAAGACATCCCTTTATTTGTTTTAATTATCAAATACACTTGATGGAAATGTGCTATTTGCAGCTTCGGTGCTGTTTCCCCCAAAATAAACTGGATAAAAATTACTCTTTAGAATGAAAAGATGTAATTTGGTGGAGGTTTTTTTTTTTTTAACCCCACATTTGCCTTTCTGTGGCTCTGCACAGCGTGGTGTGCAGCTCTGTGTCCAGTGCAGCAGAGCTGGGACTGCAAGCAGGTGACACAAACTTAAACTCGTTTGATTTAACGATTTAGATCCTGCCCACAGAGAGATTTACCCTGCTCTGAGTTCCCAGACAGGTTTGTGGTTTCAGAGGCAGTGGTACCCAGCAGAGCAGATGAAATCTCACCCAGGAACCCCTGCAGCCTTACCTGGAGGCAGAATCAGCTCTCCCCGTGCTCAGGAGAGCTCCTGCAAGGCAGTGAAGCTGCAGCAGGAATCCTGAGGAGCCCCTGGAGCTGCCAGAGGGGGATTGAGGCGAGCTGCAGAGGATAAATGTGCAGGAAATACAATTATCCCCCCACAAAACACCCATTTCAGGGGGGACACTGACATCTTGTGGGCTCAGCTTGCAAGTCTCACCACAAGTTCAGTGCTGGCCACGTCAAAAGTTTTTACTGCTCTTTTCTACTTCTGCCTGGGGCTGGGGTGGGTATGAACACCCGGCAGCTTGGTGCTGGAATGTTTGGCTGTTAAGAGATTGTGAGATGCTATCCAGGTGATGTGCAAGGTCACTTTTATATTTCAGAAAGTTCTCGTGAAAGTGTCACAAAGAGAGACTCCAAAGCCTCGTGCTGGTTGTGAATCAGATGTAAACTTAATGCCTCCTGTTGCTTCCTCTTTTCAGCCCCGAACATGGAGTGTGAACCTTGTGTTTTCCTCCATCTAGGTTTGAGCTGAGTGCTCCAGAGGTCACAGAGATCTGTTTTCTGTAATCTGAAATTTACAGCTGAGTGTCCCAAAGGAGGTCAAACATCCCTGTCTGTGTTTCTTTTTTTTATATCTGTATTTAAGCTGAGTGTTCCAGAGGTCACAGAGATGTTTTCCTCCATCTGGATTTAAACTGAGTGTTCCAGAGGCCACAAAGATCTGTATTTTGTAATCTGGATTTAAAGATGGGTGTTTCACAGGACTTCCCCAGCTCTGTCTGTGTTTTCTGTGACCTGGATTTAAGCTGAGTGTTCTAGAGGAGGTAAAACAAATCTGTTTTCCTCAATCTGGATTTAAGATGAGTGTTCCAGAGGAGATTCCCCAGCTCTGTCTGTGTTTTCCTGCACCTGGATTTGAAGCTGAGTGTTCCAGAGGAGGTCAAACATCTCTGTCTATGTTTTCCTCAATCTGGATTTAAGATGAGTGTTCCAGAGGTCACAAAGATCTGTTTTCTATAACCTGGATTTAATCTGAGTGTTCCAGAGGAGATTCCCCAGCTCTGTCTGTGTTTTCCTCGATCTGGATTTAAGCTGAGTGTTCCAGAGGAGGTCAAACATCTCTGTCTATGTTTTCCTCAATCTGGATTTGAGTGTTCCAGAGGAGGTTCCCAGCCTTGTCTGTGTTTTCCTCAATCTGGATTTAATCTGACTGTTCCAGAGGAGGTTCCCAGCCCTGTCTGTGTTTCCCAGGTTTAGGCAGAGTGTTCCCAGGAGTTCTCCAGCTCTAACTGTGCCTGTCTCTTGCAGCAGCCAGCAGAGCAGCCAGCAGAGCAGCCACGACGATGACTCCGCGCGGTTCCTGAGCCCCTCGCGCGAGGACAGGTGAGTCTGAGCCCTGTCAAACCACACCTGCTGAGCTGCTCCAGCTCCTCACTTACTTCCCTTGTGTTTCTCAGAGCTGTTTAACAAAAAATGTGATTTAAATGGGTCTCAGCAATTTAAAAAGCTGCGTTTTTCATCACCTTGAAGGTGGGACAATGCATCCAGCCTCTGAAATAGCCAGAATTTTCTTTTGAGGCTCATTCCCCAAACTCCAGCTGCTGTAGCAGCATCATCAGACCTGCTGTGTGTTGGTAATTATCACCTCTGATCCTTAAATATGCACAAATGGAATTTCCTAGGTGGATCCTGTCCTCAGCAAAGACACCTCTGAGCCTGGTTGTTTTATTCACTTTCGATGTGTTCCGGCAGTCCTGAGCTCTGGAACTTGTGTGCAGCACCTGGGTGCTGTGAAGTTCCCGAAGAAACTTTAATTTGGGTTGATTAATGACCATTTCAAACTGCAGCATTGGCACAAAAGCTGTTGAAAACCGATTTTTGTCGTTTATTTTTGTGCATGATTTATGAATGTTGCTCTGCTCAGAGCCACGTGATGAGGAGCTTTGCTGCATCTCGTAGTTCAACTTTTGAGCCTGAATTTGCCAAGTTTTTCTTGAGCTGTGAGCCCTGAGTTATCACTGATTTATTTTCCTTGCACTTCTCAGAGCCATCTAAGAAGAAATGTGATTTACATTGGGTTTAGCTATGTTTAAAAAGCTGCTTTTTTCATCAGCTTGAAAGTGGGAAAAATGCCCCTGGAATAGCAGGAATTGACTCACTTGAGAGTGACCCTAAGGAGCCACTTAATATCCCACGAGGGTTTTTGTTTCAGAAGCAGGGAGGTGTAACTCACTTTTCATCCATATTTCACTCCAATTATCCATCTCCCCATGGCTGTGGAGCTGGACTAATTAACAAAACATCCCTAATTGACTGGCAGGTGTTTGAAGCCAGGAAATAGAGAGTGGGACAGCGAAGTGGGGGCATCACCTCTGAGGTGCTGTTATTCCATTTCAGCTGGAATTCCACAGGTTAAACAGGGGTAGGATTTGTTAATAAATGTCTGGGTGGAGCAGAAGGGAATCATTTAGCAGTGCTGCCTGTTTCAGATGGATTTTAAAGGGAGCATTTAGGTTGGTGCTGAATGTTCCTGGAGCAGATTTCAGCTGCACAGGCAGATCTCAAAACTATTTATGCAAAGCCAGAGTAACTGACCTCTTACATTTAGCAACGTTCCTGCTGCCTAAATTTAATTACTGTTAAATTCTCTTTTCATGGATCCTAAAATTCTCCATTTGAGGGATAGTAAATTACCTTTTCTGCTGGTTTTTTTTGGTCTCATTTGCTGATGTAATTCCCTCAGCCTCCACTGGCTTCCTTTGGATATTGGTGGTTTGTGCTCATAAAACTTCACCAAAAAATAACTCAAACACACCTTTTAGTGTAAGCTGGACAGGAATTAGTGAGAAGAGCTTGCTGTCTGCTATGATAAATAGCACAGATGAAAGTTGTTTCTGAGGCATCTTGAACCTTTTATACCCCCTCCAGCAACTGAATGAGGATTTATTTTTGCTGCTTTTAGGTGTTTTGTTTTTTTTTTTTTTTGACCAGTAACAAAGAGTCCTCCGTTTTCATTTGAAGATTTGAATCTCTGAGCTTCAAATCTTTGATTTGAATTTGATTTGATTGCGATTTGAAGCTCTGAGCTTCCGTTTTGAAGGATTCCAAGGCAGTTCTGGTCGCTTAGCCATTGACCATTGTACATCAGCTCTTAGAAAAACCCCTAAAAACCCCAGAGCCATGCAGGATTTTATCAGGGCTGTGGGATGGGAGCAGAAGGAGGGCAGGGAGCCGGGTGCTGTGCCCTGGGAAGGTGCACCTTGCCTTGGCACGCTGCCCTGGCATCCCCGAGGAGGGCAGGAGCAGAAGGAGATGCTTAGAGCAGGGAACGAGCTGCACCCGCCTCAGGACAGCTGGGAAAGTGCTGAAAGAGGCTGCCCCAGCCAAAAACAAAGGGCTGCTGAGCTGCTGAGTTGATTCTGAGATGAAAAAAAATGAAGAGCACACAGCTGAGGATGGCTGGAACACTCCCAGCCAGGATCTTCACCAAAGGCGCTGCTGGTGGAGTTCCCTTCTCAGCGAGGGATTTCCAAGGGCTCCTGGATCTTTGAGGAGAAGCCTGAACATTTTGCCCTGCTCTGGGTGCATCTGGGGCTCTCTGGCAGTCTTTTCTCCAGAGGTGTGAGTGCTGCTGCTGGCTGGAGGCTTGGGAAGCGCTGCCATGGTCCAGAAGCCCTACCCTGGCACGGCATCGTGTGGCAGCGTGGCCAGGCAGGTCTGCCACCCCTGTGTCTCCTCCCTGAGGAAAAAGCTTTCCCTCTGCAAATCCCTGTAAGTTATCCTGGCTCTGCCATGCCTGGCTTGTGCTGAGGGGGAGCCACGCTTCATCTCGGGGTAACAGCGTCCTGTACCGCGGTTTTTAGGAGGAAGGATTTAGTGGGATGTGCTGGAAAGAGGTTTTGTGTGAGTTTAGGGCTCGGTTCTTTGCTTGCTGGTTGCCTGGGTGAGTCACTTCATTTATGAAATCAGGAGAATTCCTTTTTTACCTCACAGGAAAACAGAGGTGGTGAATTAAGTGTGAGTTGCTCAGATGCTGAAACATCGCTTCTGTGTAAGCACAGACTCAGGCAGAGGTGAACTAGAGGCTCCAAATAATTGTGCCTGACTTAAAATAATTCCAGGGGTGGGATGTAGTCACAGATTTGGATGAGATTTGTGCACAGAGAGACCCCACAGTCACTGAGAGGAGACAAAGCCATGCATGAATTACCTTGAATTTTCACCAAATTAACCCCAAATTCATGAGCCTGTCCCTGCTTGGTCCCAGGACTTGTTCTTTGTCACGGCACCGAGGCACCCGTCAGGTTCAAGGGTGCAAAGTGTGTTTCAATTAAAAGTTGAGCTAATGAAGCAGAGTTAAAATCAGTCCTTAGACTCAGCCTAAGGAGGAGACAAACTTGAAGAGAGGAGAGCATGGAAAGCAAGGCTGGAAATGGAGGAGAGGGAAGTGAGTGGCAGTTTACAAGAGATAATAAAAAAACTATTTACACAAAAAAATCAAATAAATCAGAATTATTTACATTTACAGGGCTGTAAATCCAAATTATTTACATAGAGATCATATCTAATGGAGGAAATGGGGAAGCACAGTTAAATTCAAGATCTCTGATATCTCCTGCATCTCATTTTAGTTCCTTAATCTGTGCAGCTCCTAATTCTGCAGTTCCAGGGCTTCAGGGCTTGCTGTTGCTCTGAGCAATCCAATAAAAATTTCTCAAATAATGGATCAAAATTCAGAAGACAGCTTTCAAGGGAACTGGGGAAAAGCTCGCAGCAGAGACAAGTTGAAGAAGTTCTGTTGGCTGCTTGAATTTCCCCAGGAAGTTGTGGGAAGAGCAGAAAAGAGGTCAAAGTTTGAAAATGGATAAATGAAGCCTCATAAATATGACATCCATATTATTTATGTTTTTAGGGCTTGTTTATTCTGCATCTTTCTCCCTCTGTCTTTTTCCCTTTGGCACAACATTCTGAGCCCCTTTTCCTGCAAAGATCCTTGGTAGGGAGAGTCCTGATCCAAATCCCTGAGAAGCTTTTGTCCCTCCCAGATGGATCATCTTCAGGGGGTTTTAAAAGTGTTCTGGACAGGACTTGGAGGCTGCTGAGTTCTCACAGGGTCCCTGATCAGAACCTTGATGCTTTTGCAATAACTTGGAAGTGACTTTGGGTTTGGATCCAAACTCTGAGTCAGTTTGAACTAAATATTAAATAGGAGTTTAACCAGGATGAAACAAGTTGGGTTTTTTGGTAAGAAAGATGGTTAATATTTAGATTATGTCCCTTTTTTGCCCCTCTCACCTCTGGCTGACAAGAGCAGCTTAAGCTCAGCTCTGTTCCCTTGGCTTGAGTCAGTGAAAGGGAACACCTCGTGCTCCCTGTCCCTCACATGCCATCACTGTTGGGTTTTGGGTTTTTTGGTGGAAGTTCTGTCTCTGCTGGGCTGGTTTAGCCACGATGAGCTCATCCTGTCACTGTCACTGTCCCCTGTCACTGGGTGCAGGGGAGGCCTGGCAGACCTCACTGGGCTGTGTCACTCACTCCAAATGCTCAGGAACACGAGGAGGAGGTGCAGAGGTGCTTTAATATCCCTCTTTTTCCTTCTCTGAGACACTGGGCAGGCTCCTTACCCTCCCCTCCTGTTCCCAAGAGCAGAAGTTTGTTGTGTAACCACTTTCTGGAAGTAGTGGTCACCCCATCACCTCTGGGTCCCGGGAATGCTGGGATTCTCGGAATACTGTGGTGGGGAAGTGGCAAAGAAGAGGTTGGGATGATTTCTGGGGCCTGTAACTTGTTGTCAGTGACCCAAAGGTATTTCCTGTGCTCCCTGAGTCTCCAGGTGTGACTCTGCTTGGCAGAGCCCAGGTGTTGCTCACAGCAGAGCCCTGTGGCGAGGCAGTGCCCCTGGTACAGGATTACCCATTTTAGCTCTGTTCCCCTGCTCCCATGCCCTGCTCAGGGAGGGTTTCCCAAGCTCTGAGGTGCCAGCTGGCTGTGGAGAGCAGGGCTGCTGGCTGAGGGGATTAATTCAGATTTGTTCTGCCCGCTCCTCCTTCCGTCCGGTACGCAGCGGAGAGAAGGAGCCCATTCTGAGAGGGGATGTGTGGCCCCTCAGCCTGTCTGAGGCTCTCTGAGATTGTCTGAAAATGGTCCAATTGTTGGCCCAATCAAGGGCAAGACCAGGAAAGAGAGACAAGGCCATTGTGGGCTCCTGCTGCAGCACTGAAACTTCAGTTCTGCTATAAAATAACCATAGAGGGTCTCACGGAAATTAACCGGTTCCATCCCCTCCCAGCCAGAGCTGGGGGTTTCAGATGCACAGAAGGGAGGGTTCACTGGGCAGCCTGATGTTAATTCTGCTTGTGTGGCCAGGTTTCTGCAGGGAGTGG